GCTATAAACATGGGTGCACATACTTCTCTGTGATATGATTCTTTTAGTTCTCTTGGAAAGATACCCAGCAGAGGGATGGCTGGGTCAAATGGAACCTCCAGTCCAAGCTCTTTGAGGTATCTCCATATTGATTTCCATAGTGGTTGCACTAGTCTGCACTCCCACCAACAATGGAGGAGGGTTCCTTTCTCCCCACAACCCGCCAACATTTGTTATTGTGTGATTTCTTGATAGCAGCCATTCTTTGTGGGGTGAGGTGGAATCTCAGTGTTGTTTTCATCTGCATCTCTCAAATGACCAGTGATGTGGAACATTTTTTCAAATACTTTCTTGATGCTTTTACTTCTTTGTCTGAGAAATGTCTGTTCATTTCGGATGCCCATTTTTGAATCAGGTCTTTATATTTGGGGGGTCAGGCCCTATTTTGAGTGTCCAGTCCCTTCTCTGCCAAAAGATCACCATTCATTTGCTGAAGTGTAAAATGGTATGGGCAGCTCCTTCACACTGAGCTACATTTTCTGTCCTTTTTTTAAAAAAATCTTGATAAGTTGCCTAGGCTAGGTTTGAACTTGTGATTTAACTGCTTCAGCCTCCTAGAGTTCTGGGATTACAGGCATGTGCCATCATACCCAGCTAGCCATTTTACTGTTACTATTAACCTGTATTTGTCCTGAGGTCTTCATCCAAGTACAACAGCTGAAGATTTTTTAAAAAAAATTATTTTTCATTGAGATTATTGGTAACTTTTAGGTATACAGTGCAGTTACATTCATCATTGGGATCTTTTACTTTACATGACAGATCTTGGTTCTCATTTTTTCCTCATACCCCTGCCCTCGCTTCACCTCCTCCACCCTTCCCTATTTACAAAAACTGTTTCCATTTTTGCATTTTCTCATATTTTTTCTTTGCTCTTATTTCCTTTCCCCTACTCTTCTCACTACCCTACACCTTTAGCCCTTTTCTTCCCAGTTCACAATAGCAGTTATACAATTTGAATCTTATTTAAACTTTTTTTTCATTGAGTTTATTGGTACATTTTGGGTATACAGTACAGTTACATTCATTATTGGGATCTTGTACCTTTATATGACAGGTCTTGGTTCTCATTTTTTCCCCTTGTCCCTTCCCTCCTTTATCCCCTGCCTCCCCTCTCCTTTTACAAACACTTTATTTCCATTTTTTCATTTTCTCATATTTTTTCTTTTCCCTTATTACCTTTCCCCTACCCTTTCCACTTTCCCTACACCTTTATAGCCCTTTTCTTCCCATTTCACATTGTCAATTATATCATTAGGATCTTATGTACAATTATAGTTTTTTATACCAGAGTACACTTTTGGTTTTTCACACCAGAGAAACTATTTGGCATTTACACATGTGTGTTCTTTTTCTTTCTTTTCTCTTTTTTTTGGGGGGGGTACCATGAATCAAACTTGGGTTCTTGTGCTTGCAAGGCAGGCAGCAGAACCACTGAGATAAATCCCTGGCCCATGTTCTTTTTTTTTTCATTTATTGGTATTTAAAAGTATACAGTACAGTTACATTCATTCATCATTGGGACCTTGTACATTTACATTACAGACCTTGGTTATTTTTTTCCCATACCCCTGCCCTCCCTTAGAACCCTCCACCTTTCCCTATTTACAAAGACTTTGTTTCCATTTTTCCTTTTCTCGTATTTTTTCTTTGCCCTTATTTCCTTTCCCCTATTCTTCCCACTTCCCCTACACCTTTAGCCCTTTTCTTCCTATTTCACACTATCAGTTATACAACCTGGATCTTATTTATACTTTTACTTTTTCACACCAGAGAAACTATTTGGTATTTACACATGTTTGTCTTATTTATTTCACTTAGGAGTATGGCATCAATATGTATCCATTTTTCTATAAATGACTCTAGTTTCTCATTCTTTATGGCTGAGTAATATCCCAATTTATAGAAAAACCACATCTTCTTTATCCATTCTCCAAATGATGGGCAAATGGGCTGTTTCTAAGTTTTAGCTATTGCAAACTGTGCTGCTATAAACACGGGTGCACATGTATCACTGTGATATTATTCTTTTGATTCTTTTGGAAAGATACCCAGCAGAGGGATGGCTGGGTCAAATGGAACCTCTAATCCAGGTTCTTTGAGGTATCTCCATATTGATTGCCACAGTGGCTGCAACAGTTTCCACTCCCACCAGCAGTGCAGAAGGGTTCCTTTCTCCCCACAACCCCACCAACATTTGTTGTTAGTTGATTTCTTTTGTTTTTTTTTGGTACCAGGGTTCGAACTCAGGACCTTGTGCTTGCAAGGCAGGTGCGGTGCCACTGAGCTAAATCCCCAGCCCTATTAGTTGATTTCTTGATAGCAGCCATTCTTTGTGGGGTGAGGTGGAATCTAAGTGTTGTTTTCATCTGCATCTCTCTAATGACCAGTGATGTTGAACATTTTAAAAAATATATTTATTTGATGCTTTTATTTCTTTGTCTGAGAAATGTGTGTTCATTTCAGATGCCCATTTTTGAATCGGGTCTTCATATTTGGCAGAGCTCTGTACCTGACAGTAATCTTCTGACACAAGATCAAGCCGAGGGCAGCACCTGATACTCATCTTTTAGACCAAGATCGAGCGCAGTTTCGATGGGACAGCGTGGAATGAATGTCAGTAAGAAGATATAAAGGATAGCAGACACTGACCTCATCACCCCTGCCAACTTGTTCTTGTGGTGGCCCACCATGTACACAGGACATATCTTGTTTTTCATTCAGATCACCTTTTCTCCTTGAGCACTTCTTTTCTGCCCTAAACTTTTGCATTCATCAATTGTTCCCACCAATTTATTGTACTGGACAGTAAGAGCCAGGAAATCACTGTTGCTTATTACAACACTGAGAATGCTCCTAACTTCAATTATAATAATGGTCAGGAATTAAAGATATCTAGGTTTTATCAATTTCCTCCCTCCCCTTCCTGTCTTTCAGTTCCCTTTCTGTATACTAAAGATCCATGCCACTATTTTCTGCTGTCTATTCTTTATTTTTGCACTTTATTTATATGTTGAAATTCTCATATGAGAGACAGTGGCCATGTGTCCATTGAGCCATTTAAACTAGCGCTCAGAACCTAGAATCTAGCCCTCAGTTTAGTGGCATTGAGAACTTTGTAGTGACTAGTGCCAGATAACACGACATACAAAGCCTGAAGTAGACAAGAGAAAGTTAGTTCATAGAAGAAAAACAACAGTACTTAGTAGCTACAATATTTACATTGGCATCTGAATTATATAAGCAGACATATATAAGAAGCCAAATCATTACCAGAGGGATAGTTTGGATGTATGTGGGGGCCCTGCCATGGCCCTCTTGGCCTTTGACATTGGAAAGGAAACTTCTTCCTCTACACTCAAGGCATTGATACTATCTACGTAAAATTTGTTACTTTTCTAGGACTCTGCTTGTTAAAGTTGTTTTTTGACCCTGCAATGGGAGAAACTCAAAGAGACATCCACAGATCTGATGTTCTTTGTAAAGAGTCAGAAAATGCAGTCTTTGCATAAGATAAAAACAATTGCTTGGTGTTTTCTGTTGTTGTGTGCCTTTAAAAGCTTCCTGGTGATGTGAACCTATAAAAGGAGCTGTTTCTGTGAAATAAATCAGACTGCTCTTGGTCTCCACTCAGGGTTGAGTGTTCTTTCCTTTCTCAATCCTCACTCCCCGACTCAGGCATGTTCGTGTTGTGACAGCTGGACCACCACAGATGTATTAAAGTAACACAATGGCAATGCACGAGGACAGACTGAAGGACATAGCTTTTGAAAGAACTAGTAGTTCAGGGAACCTGGATCTCTCATGGCTGTAGCTATATTTCCCTGAAAATAAGGCCAGGTCTTATATTAATTTTTACTCCAAAGGATGCATTAGGGCTTATTCTCCGGGGAGGTCTTATTTTTTCCTGTACAAAAATATACATTTATTTATGTATAAAATCCACATTTATTCATGTACAGAAATTGATACTTAATTCAAATGCAGTCATGTCATCTTCTTCTGAAACATCTTCATAATTCTTCAAACCCCGAATTCCAGACTATATTTTTTGGAACTCCATGTGCTGTAGAACCACTGGCCCCAATCTCACATCCAGCAATAGAGCTCTCCTTAATTAAGTACTACTTCTTGTCCATGTAGCCTGCTCACAATGCATTGACAACACAGCTGTTTGTGATTTTACCCCATGAATTCTTCACCCAAGTCACAACCTTTTGCATGCTGGGCTTCACAAAATTTCCATTAAATCAAGTGTTCATTGAAGACTTCCAAGACAGGAGTGGCAACACTAAGTAAAATGACTTTTATAACCACCTGTGCCTCTGCATTGTTGAATCAGGTACTGGCATAACCAGGAGGCCCCAGAGCTCTGTGGGTTGGTGTGGGGGGTGAAGGAATTCTGCAGAGGTGCCCTTACAAGATGGGTGGTCCTCACCCATTTGCTTGAGTGAAGGCCCGTGGTCCTGGAGTTGGGGAGCAGTGAGTTTCCCGCGTGACTCGGTGCACTTCTTGACTTTAATTTTAACACCACTGATTGAATGTTTCAGTAAAGAAGCTTTCAGTCAACTTGATCAGTTTGATTATGTAATGAGCACAGCACCTAATGTTTTGACTTGCTCTTTTGTGAGAGCCAATGGTTAAGGTAGATTTTGTGTTTGAACAATATTCCAGGAGCTTTGGTGACTTTTGTTGGCTTGAAGTCTGATTTTTTTTCTTCCTAAAATACCTAAAAATTCTAATGTTGAACTTGCCCAGATTTGTGTGGAACAAGGCTTAGAAAAATGAAAGCTGTAGATTGAATAGTAATCCCAGTATAGTAGAGGAGGGAAAATTTTGGTGCCATAATTTATCTTCTTTGGTGTTGGATGAAATCATCTGAAATGTATTTCTGTTCCAAAATTTAAGCTTCAATAAGTTTGCATAATTAAAAAAATAAAATGCCACCCCAAAGTCTCATGTGTTCAGAGGTGGGTGATCTCGGAAGGTAATGGGATCATGGAACGTTATACTCATTGGTGAATTAATCTACTGATGATTTCATAGCTGAATGTGTTGCAGATGGGGCCTGGTTGGATGAGGTGGGGTGAGGGTGTGATCTGGAAGGGTGTATTCTTTTTCTTTTGTGTGTGTGTAGTACTGGTAGCTGATGCCAGGTGTTTTGCACTGAGCTGCATCCCTGCCCTTTCTTTATTTGAGATGGGGTCTTTCTTAGTCCCTTAGTTGTCCAAGATGAACTCATATATATATTTAGGTACCAGGGATCGAACTCGGGACCTTGCGATTGTGAGGCAGGCAGCGGAACCACTGAGCTAAATCCCCAGCCTTTGATCCTCCTGTCTAAGCCTTTCCACAGTGCCAGAATTACAAGAATCCAACATCATGAAACTAGCTCTGGAGGTGTGTGTTCTTGTCCCTTCCTTGACCTTTCTGCTCCTGGACTGGCATAAGGTGAGAAGCTTTCCTCTGCCATGCCCTTCTGGCTTGCTGTTTCTGCCTTGGAGGAATTCAATTGTGGACTGGACCCATTGAAACTGTGAGTCAAAAAACTTTATGGCTTAAATGGCCAGTGTCAGATATTTTTGTAACAGTGATGGAAAAGTGACTAAGGCACTACTAAAACTTATTTATTTATTTTTATTAAATAATTGAATTTATTGGTACATTTTAGGGATAAAGTACAGTTACATTCATTATTGGGATCTTGTACTTGGTTCTCATTTTTTCCCCTTGTCCCTGCCCTCCCTTCACCCCCTTCTGCCCTCCCCATTTGCAAACATTTTATTTCCATCTTTTCATTTTCTCAAATTTTTTTCTTTTCCCTTATTACCCTTCCCCTACCCATCCCACCTTCCCTACACCTTTAGCCCCTTGCTTCCCATTTCACAATATCAGTTATCTCATTAGGATTTTATGTACTATTACATTTTATTTGCACCAGAGAAACTATTTGGTATTTACACATGTGTGACTTATTTGAGTATATCCTCAATATGTATCCATTTTCCTATGAATGCATCTAATTTCTCATTCTTTATGGCTGAGTAGTATTCCAATTTATAGAAAAACCACATCTTCTTTATCCAGTCACCAACTGATGGGCAAATGGGCTGTTTCCAAGTTTTAGCTATTACAAACTGCGCTGCTATAAAAATGGGTGCACATATATCACTGTGATATGATTCTTTTAGTTCTTTTGGAAAGATACCCAGGAGATGGATGACTGGGTCAAATGGAACCTCTAGTACCAGCTCTTTGAGGTATCTCCATATTGATTTCCACAGTGGTTGCACCAGTCTGCACTCCCACCAACAATGCAGAAGGGTTCCTTTCTCCCCACAACCCTGCCAACATTTGTTATTGATTGATTTCTTGATAGCAGCCATTCTTTGTGGGGTGAGGTGGAATCTCAGTGTTGTTTTCATCTGCATCTCTCGAATGACCAGTGATGTGGAACATTTTTTCTTATATTTACTTGCTGCTTTTACTTCTTTGTCTGAAAAGTGTCTGCTCATTTCAGATGCCCATTTTTGAATTGGGTCTTTATATTTGGGGGGGCTGATTGTTTTGAGTTCTTTATATATTCTAGATAATAGACCTTTGTCTGAGGAGCAGCTGGTAAGAATTTTTTCCCAATTTGTAGGTTGTCTCTTAGTCCTGTTGATGGTTTCTTTTGCAGTGCAGAAACATTTTAATAAGATGAGATCCCAGTTGTTGATTCTTTCTGCTAGTTCTCGTGCTACTGAGGATTTGTTCATAAAGTCTTTTTCTATGCCAATGTCTTCAAGAGTTCTGCCTAACTTATCTTCCAGCAAGTTTAGTGTTTCTGTTTTAATATTTAGATCTTTAATCCACTTGGATTTTACTAAAGTACCATTATTTTCATTGCAGAGGACTTTTACCTCCTTAGTTAAGTTAATTCTGAACTATTTATTCTTGGTTGCATTATGAATAGCACTGTTTTCCTAAGTGCTTTCCTATTGAAATCATTTTGGTGTAAAGGAACACTGTTAATGTTTTCTGTGTTGATTTTCTATTCTGCTACTTTGTTGCATTTGATTATTAATTGTACAAGTCTTTTGGTGGATCTTTTTTGGTATTTCATGTAGAAGATTATACTGTCTGTAAATAATGATAATTTGACTTCTCTACCTATATACTATCATTGTTTTCTTTTACATGACTAATCACTCTAGCTTGTATTTCGAGTACTATGTTGAACATGAGTGGTTATAGTGAGCATCCTTGTCTTGCTTCTGATTTTAGAGTGATAGCTTTCAGTTTTCCCCATTGAATATGATGTCAGCATTAGCTTAATTATAAATGCATTTTATTAGATTGAGATAAGGCCCTTCTATACATATTTTCTTTTGTATTTTTATTATATATGGATGTTGGATTTTTCAAAAAATTGTCTGCATCTATTGAGATTATGTGATTTTTGTCCTTGTTTTTGTTTGTGTGGTGAATTATATTTTTTTTATTTATTGACTTACCTATTTTGAACCATCCTTTTATCCCTGGGATGAAGCTTACTTGGTGACAATGTACAATCTTTTTAATGAATTCTTGTGTTTTGTTTGTTTGCCACTATCTTGTTGAGGATTTTTGCATATATATTTATTACAGTAATTAGCATTCATTGGATCATTTTTTGATTTTTTTTCTGAGACAGGGTCTTCTGTATAGTTCAGGTTGGCTTTGAATTCACTATGTATTCCAGGCTATCATCAAACACATGGCGATCCTCCTGACTCAGTCTCCTAAGATCTGCCATTACTGGCATGCACCAAAATACATGCCCTTGTTTTGGAATCAGGGTAATGCTAGCTTGCAGGAATGACTTTGAGAGTATTCTTTGCTTTTAAATTTCTTTAAAGACCTGGAGGAGTATTTGTGTTAGATCTTTCCTGGAGTTGGATTCGGCAGTGAATCCAACCAGACCTTGGATTTTCTTATTTGTAGTGTTTTTATTACTGCTTCTATTTCATTGCTCATTAGGACATTATTCAAGATTTTTTTATGGCTGTTTGTTTTAGTTTTGGCATTTTATATATATGTAGGAATCTGTCCATTTCTTTTGAAATCCCCAGTATATTGGCATACGGGTCAGCAGAGTAGTTGTTAATAATCTTTTATTTCAGCAGTGTTCATTATGATTTCATCTGTTTTTGCTTCTAATCTCATTGACTTGGGTCTTTCTTTCTTTTTTTGGATGCAATTGGCCAATCATTTGCCTATTTTGTTTATTCTTTTGTGGAACCAGCCCTTCAATTCACTGTTTCTTTGTACTTTCTGCTCAGTTTTACTGATTTGTGTTCCAATCATTATGATTTCTTTCTTTGTACTATGTTTGGATTTAGATTGTTCTTGTTTTTCTAGGCCCTTA